TGCCTCAGCTTCCAGAGGAGTTACATGTGTTACATGTGTGTACTACCACACCTGGCTTGTTTTTCTGTATTCTTTTGATTCCTTGTTTTTATAGTTTAAAGCTTTTTTTTTTTTTTTTTAAATAGACAGGGTCTTACTGAGTTGCTTAGCACCTTGCTATTGCTAAGGCTGGCTTTGAACTTTCAGTCCACCTGCCTCAGCCTCCTGAGCCTCTGGGATTATAGGTGAGGGCTGCTGCGCCGGGGCCCCAGCCCATTTTTATATTTTATTTAGAGACAGGGTCTCTCTGAGTTGCTGAGGGTCTTGTTAAGTTGCTGAGGCTGGTTTGGAGCTTGGAATCTTCCTGCATCAGCCTCCAAAGCTGCTGAGATTATAGGCGTCACTGCATCTGACAAGCTTTTTATAATTTAAAGCAGCTTTGATTCTTACATTACAAGCCAGTGATAGCCATTGGAATGGTGATATTTTTAGGAATTTTGGATGAACTTTTAAGAAGTCAGGAAATGTGCTATCAGGTATCTGAGGATGTATTTTACATATTAATGGGTTCTTAGAAATACTTTTCATTAAGTGATTTGTTATTACAAGGTAGAGATTTTATGTAGTTAAATTAGCTTTGATTTAAGTTCTCAATAGGTCCCAAGTGAGAACACTTAAGTAAATAAAATTGTTTCCTGACAATTTCAGATAATTAAAATGTGATAACAGTAGAGTTATTTTTACAATTATATGACTTTTCATTCATCTACTTTAACATTGAGAATAGATTTCATCTACAGTGATGGTATTTATATTACATAAAGAGTCAACTGTTTTAAATGAATATTTTTATTGATCTTTGCATTATAACAGAAAGCAGCCAAAATAGCACATTGTTAATGGAAGGAACTGCTTATCCAACTTTGGAAGAAACCACGTCAGCATTTGAGGTAAACTTGTATTCTGTGAATGTATGATAAATCCTATCCTTAGAGAATATGAATCGAAGCCTCCATTTCTGTATTTTCTTCCTATTTGAATCATAAGCAATGCTAATTGAAAATTTTGAGATTCCATAGATTGATCAGTTTTAAGGGTAAAGTTAGCTTCTGTTAAAGACTTATTCTTTTAATCTGTATTATAATTTGAACCTGGGACATTCTGCCATTGAGCTACATCTCCAACCCTTTTTAGATTTTGATGCAGGGTCTTGGTAAGTTGCTCAGACTGGACCCAAACTTTCGATCTTCCTGCCTTAGTCTCCTGAGTACCTAGAATTACAGGAGTGTGCCACCATGCCTGGCCAGGTTCCAACTCTTAATACAGTAGTCTTTCTTATGTGTGGTTTTGCTTTCCCCCTTTTCAGTTACCTGCAGTCAGCTGTGGTCCAAAAGTATTTGTCTTGACTTTTTCAAAAGAGACAATACATTAATAAAATTTTTATCATAGTACATTATTACAATTATTCTATGTCTTATATTATTGTTAATCTTTTACTGTGCCTAATTTATAAATTAAGATGTATGTATATGGTATAGAAAAAATATATATAGGGTGGTATATTGTCCATGGTTTTTTGCATCCACTGGGGGTTCTTAGAATGTATACCTTGAATGGGGAATACTGTACAATCACTTTGGTGATTAAGTTACAGCATATGAATTTGGGGGACACATTTAAACTATATAGATATATGATGCAGCTGTTGAAGTTTAATACATACATAACCAGAAAAATTTAATCAACCTTTAACAGGTTCCCTGAGTACAAAATCATGCTTAAATTCATAGAACTGGTGAGAGAAATCAACTCTCTTTTCTGTGATCATTGGGTAGCAAAGGTAGTTTTCTCAGCTTCTGCATTCCAGTCAGAGAAAGAAGTGGTCCATCTAGATCTGAGAGTTGCCAACGGGTTTGATGATGTTTTCAAGTTAAGTGATGAGCCTCTATTGCATAGTCCTTTACTGTTGATAAGAAATAATATCTTTAGGTGCTGGAGGAAGAGCTTAGTGGTATAGCACTTGTCTAATATATCCTAGACCCTGGATTTGATTCATAGCACTGGAAAAAAACAGGAAACCATGTATTTTACTTTAACCTCAGATTACTATATTACCCTATACATTTTGAATTGTATAGAAATATAAGGCTCTTAAATAATTTTATAATTTATTATCTCTAAAATTATGATAATTTTAGGCAGAAGAAGGGAGGTCACCTGAAGATAATGTCTATTTTGGAACTGCCAGTGATGATTCTGATATTGTTACCCTTGAACCTCCTAAGTTAGAAGAATTTGGAAATCAAGAAGTTACAATTGTTAAAGAAGCACAGAGTTCAGAAGATTTTAACATGGGCTCTTCCTCAAGCAGCCAGTATACATTCTGCCAACCGGAAACTGGTAAGATATATATAATGATAATATGCTGATATGAGATTTATATAAAGTCTTGTTTTCTAACCCTAAATCTCAACTTTTGATTATATTTGGGTAAAACTCAAGAAATTTTTTTGTAAATCTACGGTTATATCTAGGGTATTCCTAGATTGTATGGCCTGGAGCAGAGCAATGTTGTGCTACAACAAGACTTTTAAAATCATGGTTGTCTTTTGAATTGTTAAATAGAAGACAGAATTTCTTGAGCTGGGTACATATCTGGGTACACAGTGGTACACATTTGTCATTCTAGGTACTCTGAAGGCTGAGGCAGGAGAATTGCAAGTAAAAAGTACCTAGTTGGGGGTGGATTCTTGGAGGTTTTACTGGTGCTGTTTGCAGTGCTGGGGATTGCACTTCCAAGGAAGTTGCTGAGTTACACCCCACCTATAGTTAGTTTCTTAAAGGATGTATTACAGTCCCAGACACTTCAAAAAGCATTTGGCTTATTATTATTTTTTTTTAGATCTTTACAAGTGGGAAATTGAAATATCTTACCTGTAAGGACAAGGATGTTAACATTTTTAATTATAATAGTACAAGTTTGTATTATACAAATAGTGAAAGCAAAAAATTGGGGAGCATTTAACCCAGGGGAGCATTACCCCTAAGCTACATCCCCAGCCCTTTTAAATTTTTGTTTATTTTGAGACAGGTTCTTGCTAAGTTGCTGAGGCTAACTGCGAACTTGCAGTCTTCTTGCCTTAGCCTTCTCAGTCACTGAGATTATAGGTGTGCGAAACTGCTCCAGGGTTGGTGAAAAAAAATTCTTAAGTCTTGCAGATCCCTTTGATTATAAGTTATTTAGCAAATATTTATGGTACCTACCAAGTATAAAACAATGTTCAAGGAACTGTTAATAAAGCAATCTTCCAAAAAAACTCCTTGACTTGGGTCTTTCATTTAGACTGTGTTATGAAAAAATGTGCCTATTATAAGTCACTTTCTTAATGCAGTCATTGTTCACAGTCATTTGGAGGTTAAATTTTGAGTTGCTAAGCTTATTCCATTGCATACTTCTTACGGTTAGTTTTTAACATCTTTTAAGATTTTCCAAAATATTTAGTTATAATCTTCATGGAAAAATATCATAAGATGCACCTATAATTAACCCACAGTTATAAAAGTGAATTATGGGAGAGGCTACTTGGAATCCTGATTCCAGAAATTTCCTGATTTTATAGAAAAATAGGAACAGATAGTATCTGAGGTAATCTCTCTTTAATATTTACATTTGGCATCTAGAATCAGACAAGGGAATTTCCATCATTTGAGTTTAAACTAATAAAATTCAGTTTGAGATCTTTGGCTATCTCAATTTGATAAGCTGATTTTATTTAGTGTATCCATAGAAATTGGAAACATTTTACTATTTAAATACTCATCTGATGTTCTTAGAGGCTAGAGGAAAACTTTGTTAAAATAACTTACCTAGTCCACTTATCCCTTGATATCCACAAAAGGCTGGTTCCCGGACCCTGGCAGACACCAAAATCTGGATGCTGAAGTTTCTTATAAAAAAAATGGCATAGTATTTGCAAATTACCTAGACATAGCCTCTCATCTCTACATTACTTACAATCTTGTAAAAGGCTATATAAATCGTTAGAGAATTAAAAGAAAAAGAAGTCTGTACATGTTCGGTACAGATTTTTTTTGTGTGAATGTTTTCTATTCATTGTTGATTGAATGGAGGGATATAGGACTTATGGATATGAATGATTCACTGTGCATATAGAACTTATGGATATGAATGATTCACTGTGCATTTATTTATAAGGGCTTAATATAATTAACTTTACAATTTAGTAAGGTGATCAAATTTTGATGTGTTTTTGCATTCCAGGATTTGTTTTGTATTCAAATAGTCTCCCCCTGCCCTTTGGTTTAATTTAAGAAAATGCATGACCAAAATGGTCAAATTGAAGCAGGAGTATGGCAGAAGGGTCCAGGGTGACTTATAAGACACAAAAAAAGGCTATGGACTATTTTTTCAGGACCTTAGATAACTCTAAGCTCATTAATTTTAATATTTTTCTCTTTTCTGAACTCAGATTTCCTGGGAATTTTGTAGATTTAGTTAACAGGAATATTAACTATATTTTTACCCAATCTTATCCCTCTTTAAAAGAAATTATTTCAATAAAAAAAGTTAAAAAAAAATAAAATGTGGTCCATTCTTGACTGAGATGTCTTTATGGACTCATTACAGACAGTATATGATTAGTTGTCAGGAGTTTTCTTTTCCTTATTCTCATTTTTTTTCCTGATTTGTTAATTTTATGCTACCCTTTGATTGCTTAGTTATTTTGCTTTTTCCTTTCCCTTTCTTCTTCATCCTTACTTTGACTTCATGTTTTTCTTCTAAAAACATTTAGAAGAAACATTAGATTTTAATAGTAATGTACTTTTTAAGAATAATACCAACTTCTTTCATATTAACACTCTTTCCTGGCCCCAAAGGCCAAGTTGGTAGCTGTAGAGATGTATGTATTGTATATATGTTTTGAAAAGGCATGATATTAGATTTTAAGTTAGCACAATGTTTTGATAAGTATTTTCAATTATTTATTTTCTTTATTCTTTATAATAAAGCTTTATACATCTTTTTTCCCTATTTATTCACAAAAGAAAGATGGTGGGAGAAGCTGTGGAAGATTCCTGAATGCATAATGGGATGGGATGATCAGCTGAAACACCATGTTCCTAGCCAACTCACTTTCCAAGGTGGTGTGACTAAATCTGATCAGCTTCTATAGAGCTGAGTGTGTCTAGTCACATTTACTACTTACTATGTGCTTCAGAGATACCTGTTGTAATCTGTGATACCCTAAACAGGTGTTCAAAATTGATTTTATAAAAAAAGCTGACTGAGCTTATTGCATGCCTTTTGCATTGCTTTGCATCCTGGACAATGGGACAAATTATGCTTTAAAAGCTTCTAATCAAAATATTTCAGTTGTTATGTATATAGGTGGAAAAGATGGAAGCATTAGATAAAGACCTGAATGTGGGTTAAGTTGGTTTGTTAGAATACATAATGAAGGCAGTTTGTGTTAATGGTAGTATTCAAAATTTATTCAGGGAATTTTGATAGTTTGTTTTTACATTTACTTATTATAATTCTGAGTCAAAAGTCTGACTTAAATACTCCAACCATGAACATAAATGCCTTTGTATTATGTAATGCTTTAAGTCTTCCTTTTTTCTCTTTGTCCAAGAAATGTAACCTCACGCTTGAGGCGACGGCATCTTGGAAAAACTAGTGATCAAGAATAAACAGATAAACATGATGGGCATAAGGGTCATGACCAAAAGATTTCTCAGTGGCATCTGTATCACTAAATATTAGGAGTATTTGTTCATTCAGTAGTGACTTTGATCTTTGTGTTTGTTGTTATGTGAAAGTGAACTGAATCCCCCATTATCTATTTTTTTAAAAAAGCATTGCCTAACCAAATCAGCTTTCCTGTGGCATGGATATCCTGTCTTCTAAAGAACTGTTTTATTTTATTTTATTTTTTTTAAAGCATGACTGTTGTTTTGAAGCTTTTTGTATTAAACTCAATTTCAATTTTATCCTTACTTTTAGTGCTTTCCTTTACTTCCAACCAGCCTGTAGAAATCATTACTGAATGATGTATCTATCTTCTGTGTTAACATATAGTTTGTTTTGAAATATGTAAAAGTGTTAAGATATTAAGCATTTGGAAAAAAATTGAAGCTGCTGTTTCCAGGAAATGTTTCCTTGGTCTTAAAAATTTTTTATAGTTTTTCTTTTCCTGATTCTTTGTTCTATGCTATCCTTTCATAAAGAAGTCCTTAATATCTGAGATAGCTGTTGTGTCACTTCCTCATGCTGACATATTTACTAGAGGGTGAAATTAATAACCTTCTAGTAAGAGTGGCAGTGGAAGGGAAGGGCTCATCTGACTTCTGGAAACCTGTGTTAAACTGTAGTGCTTTGAACTTGATTTAGGATAGTAGGATGGAATTGAAAGTAGGTGCCAGATAGACCCAGGAAATTTTTGGTGGTAGTTATACTTTGTGAATCACAGGACTGCTTGTATATGTTCCTGGATTCCTTAAACTGTTGAATTTAAGAAATGAATGAAGAGGACTGGGGTTGAGGCTCAGTGGTAGAGAGCTTGCCTAGCACATATGAGGCACTAGGTTTGATCCTCAGCACCACATTAAAAAAAAAAAAGGTATTTTGTGTACCTATAACTAAAAAATATATATATTTTAAAAAATGAATGAAGAGATGATTTTTTTCTTTCAGAATTGGTACTTGTTTTTTATGCATCCCATAGCAATGAAATTTAATAGGCTATGAGAATAAAAGTATGAACTGCCAGGGAAGTTTTTTTTTTTTTCACCAGTATTAAAGGTATGGAGTAATATGTTTTAACAAATTTCTGTGTATCACATTCTAGGACTTTTATGCTTTCACTTTATGTTGATAGATTGAAAAATTGTTTTTGTGTTGCTTGGTTTGCTATTTCATGTAAAAAGGCATATAGGGATAGCATTGATTATTCTAAGTCATATTTATTGGGAAAGCTTTTCTAAAAGTTTTAATACGTAAATATCAACATTTTTCTTTTTAAAATAGTATTTTCATCTCAGCCTAGTGATGGTGAATCAAGTAGTGATGAAACCAGTAATCAACCTAGTCCTGCCTTTAGACGACGCCGAGCTAGGAAGAAGACTATTTCCACTTCAGAATCTGAGGAACGATTGCCTGCTGAACAGGAAAATGAACCTTCTAAGGAGTTGAGTAAACGCCAGTTCAGTAGTGGTCTCAATAAGTGTGTTGTACTTGCTTTGGTGATTGCAGTCAGCATGGGATTTGGACATTTCTATGGTAAGTATTTGAAAATGTGTTATACGTTAACTGATGCCATTATAAATAGGAGATGATTGAGGAATCCTAGATCTGTTTTCATTGTCATTATTAAGCTGATGACCTTGCAGCCTGTTTGTATTTCAGTTTTTTTATTTGGAAAGTGGAGATAGTGCTGCTTATCTCATTACACTATTTTCACTTAAATGAGCTAGTAGTTATTTAAGAAATGTAAGAACCAGGTGTGGTAGTATGTGCTTGTAGTCCCACTTGCTTGAGAGGCAGACACAGTAGGTTTATTTGAGGCCAGATTGGACAACAAAGTTAGACTGCATCTCAAGTTAAGAAAAAAAAGGCAATTATTAACATGTATGACTTTTTTTAAGTAAAAAGATTAGAAGATTAAAAATTTGAAATGCTGGGGCTGGGAATGTGGCTCAGTGGTAGAGTGCTTGCCTAGCAGGCATGAGGCCCTGGGTTTGATCCCTAGCACCACCACCAAAAAAAAAAAATTGAAGTGCTCACCATGAGGCAAGTCATTTTAAATTGCTATTACAGATTATTTAAATCATAGTTGGAGTAGTTACATTTGAAGTCTCCCAATAATTATTGCTCATCATTTCTATTTTGAGGTTTAATGCAATTGTCATTTTGTGACATTCATTTTTGTTTTATGATTCACATTAGTTGAAAAATTTTTATCTTGTATATTAGCCTTATATTTTGGTTTTTGTTATAACCAGGTTGCTTATGGCCTCGCCAAGTTTCTGAGGCAGGCTTTGAACTTGAAATCCTCCTTCAGCCTCCTGAGTTCCTTGGATTAAAGGCGTGTGCCACCATGCCTGGCTGTTGATTATCTTATTAATTCAAAGCCTATACGTGTTTCTTGGGTCAGATGAAGAAGTGGTTGCATGTGATGTTGGTTATTTTTTCTTTTCCATGTAGGAGTCTCACTGTTTTCTTTATATATTTATGTTTTATATTTATGTTTTCTTTCTATATATAAGATATATTCTTTAGTACAGAGACAGGAGTATTTAAGAACTGAGTGTTCCTACCCTTTGCTCTATTGGATTTTGGGGGGAGTGTACTTTAAAGAAATGCCTTAGATCTCATTAGTTTCACAAATTTTAGTTTGCATTATATTAACTTCTTTTAGATTTTTTTTGCCTATGTAATCCATACTTTGTTTTGCTAGTTCCTTCCAGTAATATGTTTTTAATGCAAAAATTTGAAGAATTGCAAGTACAGTTTATTGATTTGTGGAAGATATTTATAACATTAGAATAAACTTAATGTCAACATAATATAATGAAAACAATCAATACTTGTATAAAGTCAGTCAGTAAAATTTGTTGTTTCTTGTATTTGATTCTGTGTTAATAAAAATAGGTACTTAGATTCCTGATGGATGATGCCTGCTTGAATTTAATACTGAGGTACTATAATTTGTATCCTCTTTTGAAGTTTGTTGTAATGAGATTTGATTTGAAATATATACTTTACTGGCTAACTAGAGTAAACATATCAATATGTTTTTGAGTTATGATTTTTTCTCCCTACAGGTAAACATGAAGGTAACAAAGGAGAAGGTCTTAATCTTTTTTTCTTACTAAAAGCAAAAATTGGATAGTGACTTCTAAATGTTAATTTGGAGAATTGCATGACCTTTAAATATTTTGTAGAAATTTCAGTTTAGAGATGAGTCCTTTCAAAAGAGAGAGAAATTCAACTAAAAAAAAAAGTCATCTTTGTTCGTTCAATGGTATCTTTGGGGCTGGGGCTCAGTGGTAGAGCGCTTGCCTAGCATATGTGAGGCACTGGGTTCAATTCTCAGTACCACATATAAATAAATAAATCAAATAAAAATCCATCAACGACTGAAAAGTGAGAAATTACTTCCTTGTTATTTAGAATTTTGTTACTGGTAAAATTTACTTGAATAATTGCAATTGATAAAACATTTTTCTGTATTTTCATATTAGTCTTTCCAAAATATGAAAAACTTCAATCTAGGTCTATATAGTAATGAAAATTGATTTAATAAAAATATAAGATCTAACCTGAATGACCTTTTAAAGTCACTACTTAAAGGACAAGTATTATTTTCTAAGTTCTGGCATGATCTCAGCACTCTTTTGGAGTTGATTTTAGAGTCGCTTTGAATTTCCCATCCACTGTGAAGTCATTTGCATTCCATAATCAGTTATTTACTTTATAATCATGTAACAGAAGTTAAGTACTAAATGAGTCTCATTAAACACACTTACCAGCTTTGGCTTCATATAAAGTGGAGGGTCTCATCTATACTAGAAGAAAGAGAAAGCTCAGGATAGTAAAACACTGTACTCCAAGTATTTGGCCATGACTCAAATTCTGAAAGTACTTCTAAAATTAATAAAAGATTATTATATCTTTATGATGCACTTACCTTCCCTATTCTTATCTTTACTTACAGACTATACACTAAATTATCAGTGGAGTTCATTTGATTTGGTTTTCTCATGGAGTTGCTTTAAGTATTGATAGGCTGTTCAGTTCTTCAGCAGACAACTGGGTGCTAAGACAGAAATGAATTATTGCTCAAAGGCTATACCTACTTAGTCATCCTAGCGGTGGTAGGATTTAAATTGGGTTAGTCTTAGCAAGCTTATGATGGGCAGAAGGGAAGGTGAGACATTCTAGTAATGGAGAACCTCATAATTTGCAGAAAAAGGAAACTTTTTGGTTTCATAACAATGAGAGGATTGCCTGGACTATGGAATAGTTGTTTAGAAATAATGGGAGAGGTGGGTGATACTAGATTGTATCACATCTTGGAATCTGGATAGGAGAGTTTGATTTATTGAGTGACTTGACAGTGATATTGATAGAAGAAGAAAAAGTATAGGAAGATAAATGGTATGGGACAAAGTAGAACTTCTAGGAGTTTTGTAATCCAAATATTTGATGATAAGGGCCTTGAAAACTAGTGACAGTGGGGATAGAGGGATTAATAAAGTAAGGACACTGAAAGAGTAATAGAAGATAGGACTTTGAATCTGGATAGTAAGTTTATTAAATTCTAAGAAATGTGCTAGCTGCTTCGTTTTTGGAATTGGGAGTTAATGAGAAAGGGTTTGCTAGATGATAAATAGGTGATAAGCATAGTTTGGATTTTTTTTACTCAGATTAATTCTAGAATGGTTGAAGTAGGTGTCAAAGTTTAATTTTTTTTTTCTACCATAAAGAGGCCCTCAGAATTGTGCCTAATAGGCACCTAGATATTATTGGCTAGAAGCTCAGGTCAGAGATTGTAACTGTATCTGAATCTGAGATGTCTTAACATGAATGACAGAAAAACTGACAGTGGGTAAATGTGTTGAGAAAAGTAGAGTTTGCAGACATGACTATGCCAAAGATAGTATCTTGGAGAGGTAATACTTTATGGGTAGACAGCTGAAAATATAAGGAGAAAAGCCCCAGTGATTAATGAGATTAAAGGACCACATTAAGACAGTCATTAAGCATATGCTATGTTAATAATATCTTACATTCAACTCTCACTATGGTTTTTGGTTATTTTCCAGTGGACAAAGGAATTCGTCTGGTTAGCTCTTTAAAATAGAAGTTTTCTGGTTACTCTGGGTATTATAAACATAAGTGTATTTCAACATTTAAAAAAACCCTGAATTTCTTTTAAGTCATTTTGAAACAATGAATTCTATAAACAAAACTTAAAAATAAATGAATCCTAATGCAGAATTTCATATTCATATTTCATATAGTGGTTATACTATCTAACAGTTATCTGTAAGTTGTTAAAAGTTTTTGATATTTTTCAAGATGAAGACATTTTAAAATAATTTTTGTAGCAGTTCAGAGGGGAAAACACGGTAAACTACCATTATATCCTTTTATTTTTAAATTGTATGACATCTCTTCATATGGTATGTCCACTCAGTAATATTAATTCTGCTGGATGCATTTTGCCCTATTTTTGATTTAGTGTTTTGTTTTGTCCATGCATGAAGTTTGTAGGAGCATGTGAACAGCATGTCTTGGCAAAATAACATTTTGATTTTAGGGTGAAAATAAAGGAGTCTTCCTTTATCATTGCTGGGATAGAGACAGTGGTACTCCACTACAGATTTAACCATTGCAGAGTTCTTAAAAGATTTGGCTTTGAGAATCGTAGGTACCAGGCAGTTGTTTTCTATGATGTACTTTTTGGGCTTGTTGTATCCTTTAGGCAGCATATTAGAGACACATACATAGAAATTTTATGTTTTCATGTTTACTTTTAACCTGTGGAAAAAACACTTACCAATTGTTTATTTCTCTGTGTAAAGGGATTTTGAATAATTTACATACTTAAAGATACCCACAAAACGACAAATCTTAATGTCTTCAATATAGTAAGAATGTTTAATAAATTATTTCTTGTTAGAGTGAATGTAGGCTTGTCTGTTCATTTTAATCAAAAGGCTAGTGAACTGCTTAAATGTTCCCGGGTCTATACTAAATACATTGACTATTTGGACTGGTTTGTATTATAACTAACCTCCATCATCATTTGATGAATGATATCATATTTATTCCTTGTTTATAAAAAATCAGGATTTTTAAAGAAACAAAATGCTGACACTTTGAAAAATGATTTTATCTAGATTTAGAGACAGATTATATTTAGATGAAATGTTTTCTATATTTTAAAATACTGGTGATCATGTTTCATGCTTCTAATAAAAATTTTTCATTTTAGGCACAATTCAGATTCAGAAACACCAAGAGTTAGTCAGAAAGCTACACGAGGATGAACTGAATGATATGAAGGATTATCTTTCTCAATGCCAAAAGAAACAAGGACCTTTTATAGATTCTAAGGTGTGTACCACTAAAAAATATTAAAAATAATTGTTAGTATTTGTACTATTTAAATAAAAAGTGCAGTGAAAATTAGTAATATTGGTAATTGTTTATTAAGTACTTACTATATCTTAGTCACTATCAGGAAAGCACCGTGTATCTCTTTTATAACGATATTGTGATTTAAGCAAGCGTTAAGTTCATTTTATAGATGGTAAGGAGAGCTGTTTGTTTCCAAGTCTCTAATTTCAGAGGCCTTTCTTCATAACTGTTGTATTAAAATAGCATCATTTAAAATTGTTTTTTTCACGCACACATTTTGCATACACACCACTTTATTAACATTGTTCTCACAGAGCTCAGTAAAATATTCTCAGGAGCTGGGGCTTTATAGCTGTTCCAGGATCTTCTTTGTTGGGTGAAATGACCAGTATTTTTAACTGTTTTTGTTGTTGTTAGATCTGACAGAATGGAGGGCATGTGTATTTTCCTACCTAAAATTCACCTAACTTCAACAGGACTATACAGTCAATTCTGTCTCCTTACCTGACACCTTAGGTGGTTTTTGAAGTTAAGAAAAATAATTTCAGGGCTGGGGATGTGGCTCAAGCGGTAGCGTGCTCACCTGGCATGCGTGTGGCCCGGGTTCGATCCTCAGCACCACATACCAACAAAGATGTTGTGTCCGCCGAGAACTAAAAAATAAATATTAAAAATAAAAATTCTCTCTCCTCTCTCTCTCTCTCTCTCTCTCTCAAAAAAAAATTAAAAAAAAAAGAAAAATAATTTCATATTTTGTTCTTCCCTATGAAGGGTGGTAAAGGAATGATAGTAAACTCAGGATAGAAAATTTAAGTTGTTGATTTTTCCATCCATTCCACCATATCTCCCTTATAGTTTATGTATGTGTACTTTATAGGTTTATGATTACATTTCTTGGAAAGACAGAATCCTGGTTTATGTTCAAATTGTATCTTTCAGGGAGTACTGCTAAAGTGAATTTTCAGTGGTGTAGTTTTTCCAAGTATATTACAAGGTGCCATTTTCTTAGTTTCTGGTTCTGGAGGATGGCATTGGCTTTTACAAGACATATGTTTTTAGAGAATTTTTTCAGATCTCATTTCCTATTAAGTGTGGTTCAGGTGTTGAAGCTGTTTGGAAGACCTGCCCAGAATCTCTACTTGTCAATCACTTAATTTCAAGATCAAGTTTATATGAGGAATGCTGAATTCTTAAGTTCCCTTGTGGCTTCCTGTGTTTGTGCAATAAAAGATTACATTACATAGGGCTCTTCTACTCCATAGTCTAGTACTATTGGGTAGATGAAATTTGTTGTCTCAGGTAGAGCAGATGAAATAATTATGATTGAACTTAAAATCTTAATTTGTCCTTTGAAGATTGAGTTAAACAGTGAAGCAACCATTTCAATTATTTTTCAAATGTAAAATGTTATTATTCTCTTGAGCTTTCTTCCATCCTTTTTCTTATTAAATTAGATTATGATTATTGTCTGATTCAAATAGGATTAGCCATAATGTCTATAGTAAATTAAGCCAAAGTTAGATATTACTTTGTAGATTTATACATAGATTTTTTTCCCAGTGCTTGGGATTGAATCCAGGGGTGCTTTATCATTGAGCTACCTTCCTACCCCTTCCCCCCCCCTTTTTTATCTTGAGCCAGGGTCTTGTTATATTTCCCAGGCTGTCATTGAACTGGTTATCCTCCGGCCTCTGTCTCCAGAGTAGCTGGAGATTACAGGTGTGTGCCACCAGGCTTAGCTACAGTAGAATTCTATAAACCTGATTGAGCAGTTTCTCTGTCAAAGGGTTCTGACTTCAGAGTTACATTAATCTATATATTAATCTTCAGAGTTAATCTGTACAGATTATAGAGTTAACTGTAATCTGGTTTATAGTGACTTCAAATTCAGGAAATGACTTACATTTCAAAGATTTAGTCTGTCCTTCAGTGCTTGTAGAATTCTGCCTTTATCTAGAAATGTTTTTATAGGATTAAAATGTTTCAACTAGGACTAAGAATATCTGAAGTGTTTCTAAACCAAGGACCTTGTGAATACCAGGCAAGCACTGTACCACTGAGCAACATACCCAGCTTTAAAATTTTTTTTTTCAAAATTTTGAGACAGTGTTTCACTAAATTGCTGACACTGGCCTCCAATTTATGATATTCCTACTTCAGCCTTCTGAGTAGGAGTGTGCCATCATATATTACAAACTCAATTTTTGGAAGCCTTAAGTCAGCTCTAGATGACATGTTACTTTTTATAAAGATAACTTTCTTAATTTAAGAAATGGAAAAACTCTTAGTCTTATCTATATTCTTTAGGTTTTTTTTTTTTTTGGGAGAGCATCCTGTATTAAAAAAATAGACTACTCTGTTTCTTCTAACATATAAATGGTGCTTGAAGCCAGTAAGAACTTCATATTATTTATGAGAAGCCTCAATCAGAGGCACTCCTCATTTTTTCTTTCTTTTGCAGTGCTGGGGATTAAACACAGGGCCTCAGACATGTTGGGCAAGCGCTCTACCACTGAACTATATCTCAGGCTGCTTATATATATATTTTTTACCTATTCAGGAAAGGATAGCCATTTATTATTTGTTTTATTAGTGCATTATAGTTATACATAAAATCAGGTTTCATTTTCACATAATTATATAAGCATGAACTATAATTTGCTCCAGTTCAGTCCTCCGTATGTCCTCATTCCTTTATTCTATTCTGCTGGTCTTACATTTAGGGATTAACTGAGCTTTAGATAACTTTTCCTTGTCTTTATAAATTCTTCCACCGTACTATTTTTCTTAATTTGATATAATTCTCTGAACTGCATTTTCTTTTATGTGAAATTTAGTGATTTCTAGTTTCATACTGTTGAAATAGTACACAGGAGGACCTGTAGAAATAAAGACACTAAAGTTAATAGGATGTATTTAAAGATTTAATTGCAGCTTTTAAAACACTTGACATTTTTGTTCTCTTCCAAAAAAATTTAGTCATTGAAAGAAAACCTTGCAAGGTGTTGGACTCTTACTGAATCAGAGAAGATATCCTTTGATACTCAGAAAAAGAATCTTGCTACAGAAAATCAGTATTTAAGAATATCTCTGGAGAAGGAAGAGAAAGCCATATCTGCATTACAGGAAGAGTTAATGAAGTTAAGAGAACAGATTAGAATATTGGAAGACAAAGGAAGAAAGACTGAATTAGTTACAGAAAATCAGAAACTTAAGCAGCATTTAGAAGAGGAAAAACAGAAAGTGCACAGCTTCCTTAGTCAAAGGGAGACTCTGTTGGCAGAAACTAAGATGCTAAAGAGAGAACTGGAGAGAGAACGACTGATAGCAATGACTTTAAGGGTGGAACTTCAGCAGTTAAGCACGAGTCAGTCACAAGACAACTTAGATTCTCCCAGTATATTGACTGAAAAAAAGGAAATAGCAGTCTTACAGGAAAGACTCACTGAGCTGGAGCAGAAACTAAACTTTGAACAGCAGCGTTCTGATTTGTGGGAAAGACTGTATGTTGAGGCAAAAGATCAGAATGGAAAACAAGAAACTGATGGAAAAAAGAAAGGTAGCAGAGGAAACCACAGGGCTAAGAATAAGTCAAAAGAAACATTTTTGGGAACGGTTAAGGAAACATTTGATGCCATGAAGAATTCTACCAAGGAGTTTGTGAGGCATCATAAAGAAAAAATTAAGCAGGCTAAAGAAGCTGTGAAGGAAAATCTGAAAAAGTTTTCAGATTCAGTTAAATCCACTTTCCGACATTTCAAAGATACCACCAAGAATATCTTTGATGAAAAGGGCAACAAAAGATTTAGTGCTCCAAGAGAAGAAACAGCTGAAAAACCAAGAACAGTTTTTCGTGACTGTTTACATCCACAGAATAAGGCACCTATGCAAGACCAGAATCGTGGAGGCCCTGCTCTGCAAAGGGAAGGAAGGAAAGAGAAGCCAACTCACTTTGAAGAATTTAGAAAAAATACAAATTCACAGAAGTGCAGTGCTGAGCATGATGACTGTAAGGGAAGTTATCTCAGAAAGGCTTGTTCTGGTATATTTGAAAATGCTCAACAAGAATCTGTTAATCCTTTTAAGGTAATGATGAATCCTGTAAAGATTGATGAATTTAGACTGTTAATTGAAAGATACTTATTAAAAGAATTGGATGCTTTTCATCATTGGAAAGAACTAGATCAATTCATCAACAAGTTTTTCCTAAATGGTGTCTTTATCCATGATCAGAAGCTTTTCACGGACTTTGTTAATGATGTTAAGGATTATCTTAAAGACATGAAGGAATATCAAGTATATAATGATGGAGTGTTTGAGAAGCTGGATGAATATATATATAGACACTTCTTTGGTCACACTTTTCCCCCTCCATATGGACCCAGGTCGGTTTACATAAAACCATGTTATTATAATAGTTTCTAACAATTGTATATTGTGGTAGCATTTTTATCATTTGATAAGTTTCTTAGGTTACTATTTCTAAAAGACATGCTTTATTATTCCTGAAAATTTAGAATAGATAGAAAGATATAGTTTTAAATTTACAAGTATTAAAAACTGAAAATTTCATGTAACAATTACTGATTTAAACAGATGGTTTGATTTATATCTTAAAAATTAGTTATGGATATAGAAATCCTATTTTGGCTAATTATGTTTCTTTTTAGTAGAGTTGATATGAAAAGATAATTACCTTAAGTGGAATTATTTTCCTTTAATTTCTTTATTCACCTTAGGAAGCTAGGAGTGAACAACACAAATTTTACTCTGAAATCCTAAGAGCTCACATGTAACAATTATAGTGCCCTACCTGTTGTCATTTGTCCATTCCATATTCCAACTTAATTATTATATGTAATACTTACTACAGAATTATTTATAAGGGTAGTGGCATGATCAAAGAGGCAACCTCAGCAAGCCAGAAATTCTAATGTGTATACTTCATAATAACTTTTAAATCCATTGTTTATCTGCTTTTTATTCTGTAACATGAAACTCTAATACTCAAATGTTAGCTTCACTTTTTACCTTTGAGATACATATATCTATATGTTTTTATGAATAAATGTAATGTGTCTATAAAATAATGAGACTGATTATGGTGTCTTTAGTTATTCAGTATCTAGTGCTGTAATGAGCAAAATGTTGGGAGGCTGTCTTGAGGAAACAAATTGAAAATTTCTTAATGTAAATAAGCTCACAAGCTAGGCAGGTACAGAAAATTAAATGAAGATATGGAGGCATGTATATGGTGGCCTCAGGTGTCTGGAGATGTCTGGAAAAGCTTCATGATGAGGTGGCCTTGGAAATAAACTTGTTATACTATCTTTTGAAGGGTTTTCACTTCAAAAGCCTTGGAAATGTGAAGCAAGGTAGTGCGGGGGGGATGAAAAAAAGATCATGATGGCCTTGTTTTATGCTAAAGGATTTGTCTTGCAGGATATGCAGAATTTCTGAAGAATTTTGAAGTAGAGTGGAATTATAGATTAATTAGATGACCTTCTAGATTACTGGCAGCAGCCTGGAGGATTCATTGGAAAGGTGTGAAGCTAGAATGCAGTATAATAGTTGGGAGCTGATGAGTATTAGAACTAAGAAAGAGTAAAGACAGTTACACAGTAGGTAAATAGTAAAATAGTTATTTCTTGTGCAAGATAAGTAGAAAGTAACAATGACTTCTAGATTTCTGGGATGGGCTACCTTGTGGATAGTGATATCCCTCAGATATGGAATGCAGGAATGTGCTTTTGGGCAACAGGAATTGGTGTAAAAGTTGTGAAGGTATCTATTGACATCAATTAGAGAGGATTAGTTGGCAGTCAATTAACGTTTCTGCCTCTCTGGCACAAACACTCTGTCTGTGTGTGTGTGAAGACAATCTCCACTGGAGGTATTTATCAGACCCTTGGGGAACACCAACATCAGTGGGGTTGTAGAGAAGTCTGATAAGGGCAAGACTACAGAATAGTATCATGAAAACCCAAGTAAAAGTAATATTTAAATTTCGTCAAATGCTTTAAAAGTTGAGGACTGAAAATATTTCTTGGTTTGGGAATTGGGTGCCCAGGTTAGCATTATGGACTTGCCATAATGTAGTGACAGAAACCTGCTCATGGAAACTGAGGGAAAAAATGCAGATGTTGTGAATTTTTGCTAAAAAAGAAAAAGAGCCTTTTTTGGTAAGAAATGTGTGTATATTTCTGTGAGGGATGAAGCCAATGGGAGAGGATTGATTTTTTTTTTTTTTTTTTTGAGGAGGAAAATAATGGAAACACATCTCATTATTTTATTGTCACATTCTATTCTTATTATCTCTTCAGTATTTTCCCTTTGTCAGTACAGTTTCATTTGTCTGTTTTTGCTTTCTAAAGGGTAAAAAATGTATAATACTCACTGAACTCCCTCTCCCCTGCTTTATAGTATGGACATAATAGGATTATACTGTATTAACATCTTTTTGCAGAATGTTCAGATAGATTAATGGAGAAAAACATTAAAATTGGTTTTTATTTAAATAATTTGAACTCTAACATAGATGAAAAATGTGTTTACTACTTTCAGTCGACCTGATAGAAAGCAACGTATGGTAAATATTGAAAACTCCAGGCATCGAAAACAAGAGCAGAAGCACCTTCATCCACAGCCTTATAAAAGGGAAGGTAAATGGCATAAATATGGTCGCACTAATGGAAGACACATGGCAAATCTTGAAATAGAATTGGGGCAATTACCTTTTGATCCTAAATACTGATTCATGATTAAGTTAAATTAGAAAATTCAGAGAGACATGGATGCTTTCTACAATATCTGGTGTTTAAACTAAGATCAAATTATCAAGATGACAGTGTCTGTCTTTCATTTTTAAAAGTTCAGTTTGGTCGCTTTGTATTTATATTATTACACAGAAGCATCAATCAACAGCTTACTAACCTACATATTCCAGTAGTTTAGCTTTGTTGAACGTTTTTTCCTCTTTTTTTGCACTGGAAAAAAGTTTCATTAAAGAAGCCAGGCACGCAACAGATTTTGTGCATGAAATGAGACTTCCTTGCAGTGTATGAGCTTAAAGCAAGCTCGTCTCATATGTGACAAAGTGTAATTAACACTGATTGTGTTAGAGTTTTGCAGTAGTAGAAAGTACATTGTGATGGGATTTCATCTCTAACATTTTATAATCTTACACTTCTTGTCTTTTTGTGGGTTCAAGAGCCTGTTCACTTGTGAAGAATTTGCTGCCCTCTTAAGAGCTTGCTGACTTGTTCTCTTGTGAAATTTCGTGCACATCTGAATATTATGGAAGAAATAATAAAACTACACCATGAGGAAAACTAAAGGTCTTTATTTAAAATCTAGCATTACATTAATATGTGATTTCTTATTCTGTGATATTTTATACAATTTCTCAGTAGTGATATTTGGTAAAGCAATCCACAGTGGCTTTTTGCAAATTCCAGGAGTTAAACTTGGTGTTGACTAAAGTGTCTAGCAGCACCTGAATATTTCTACCCAGAAATGTCAGTTTCTCTGGAGAAGCTGTAAACACAATTTAGAATTTCATCTTCTGTTGATTTCCCCATTTAAGTTTTCTTTCATAGACATATATGTGACTTCCAGTTCGACCCTCCGGCAAGTGAGTGTGGAAGAAAACAGCAGTTCTCTCATAATTTCTTGAAATTAGGAAAGTACTTATTTCCTAGAAGTAAATAAATGTTTAAGTAAATAAAGGCTACATTTTGTTGTATTGTCAATTCTAATCGCTCCTCTGCAACATTTTTCTTCATAAAACAATATTTCTTTTTTAAAAAAATTTTTACTGGTGCATTATAATTATATAAAGTAGTGGGAAGCATTGTGTTGTATTCATGGATGCACACAGCACAGTTTGATCTATTTCATTCCCCAGTACCTCTCCTTTCCCTCTTCTCCCTTTCCCTGGCCCGAATCCTCTACTGATCTCCCTTGTATTTTCATGAGATTCCCCTACCCTTGTGTGTTTTCCATTTTCTCTCTAGCAGCCACATAAAGGAAAGCAAACATAATAGCCCTTGACTTTCTGAGTCTGGCTTATTTCACTTAGTATGATTATCTCCAGTTTTCATCTACTTTCCTGAAAAGGACACAAGAATTTTTACTCAGCCATCAAGACCAAAATTGTATATATATAACATAACACATTTCCTTTATTCACTCTGAATAAAACAAAGATTCCTTTAATAAAAGAATTAACTTACAATAACAAACATACCTTGACAGTTTAGAACTGGGGCTGATTTTGACTGGGAAAAAGACAAATTATGGAATATGGGGGTTGAAAAAGACTATAAAATAGCTTATGTTATCTTTTTACCTGTGTGTTTGCTAACCCTGGGGTTGAATAAAAACATTGAGTTTTTTTTTCTTTTTCATATTTACTTACCTCCTCCAAAACATTGAAGATGATCAAGTAAGTAGGCAGTGATGCATCGTCAGGAAGCTCTTTATGTAACCAGATTAAGGGATTTAGGTAGAATGTATCTGCTTCATCAAGATACTGACTTTTCCCAGTCAAGTCTGGGGGACACTGGAGAAATCTCATTGGAAGTGGACAGTGCACATGGCTATGAGAAAAATATTATATTTATAAGAGGTTAAAAAATATGGTGAATGTTTTCTGTTACTCTTAAGATATATCATGTAACAGTCAGCAATTCCAATTAACGTGAAGAAGGAAGTCCTTAATATATATTACCAAACATGGAGAACATGATTCTCCACGGCATAAACAAGTCCAAGCTTAAACATGAACCTCTCATTTCAAGGAGCAAAGTAAATAATTTAGCAGCTTGGAGGACTAGCCATCCTCTAACATTAGAGTACTGTTCCAAAAATCCAAATATTCTTTGGGATCAGGTAAGTTACCTCATTATAGAGTAATTCTCTATAGGCTTATTGGGCAAGGTAGGAAAATGGTTAATAATGAAAAGGAATTTTTGCTTTCTTGCCTTTCTGGTCTGAAAGAGGGGGGATTACATCTTTAAATGACAAGTTTTACATACTTGTGTAAGTTTACTAATAGGGAACAACAAATGTTCACTGACTAACAATCTAAGTAATGGTTTTATTGTGGTATAGAGTATAAAAAGATGGATTTGTCTTTAAGGCCATGCAAAATGCCATGTTTTTAATTGTCTGAGGGAGAAAACTAACGATAAAAAGATTCAAAATGTTCAATTAGAGGGCTAGGATGTAGCTCTGATAGAGCATCTGCATCTGCAAGTCCTGAGTTCAATCGCAGGCAACGGGGGAAAAAAAAAGAAAAAGACCCAATTAGAAATGAAGTAAAATTATGGAGATTTATCTGTGAGATGCATATCAACTGAATTTATATAAGACTTGTTGCTTTATAACTCATGGTTTTGGAGATGAAAAGCAGAAATTCTTGAGAATTTTAATCTGGAATGGGCACTGGGCCTTCTGTTTTTAGTTTTTTTTTCAGTATGTGCTTTGAAAAAGTACAAGATGAGAAACTAGATGTGGTGGTTTACACCCGTAATCCCAGCAGCTCAGGAAAGCTGAGGCAGTAGGATTACAATTCCAGGCCAGCCTGGGCAATTTAGTGAGACCCTATCTCAAAACAAACAGCTAGGGATGTAGCTCAGTGGTAAAATACCTCAGGTTCAATCCCAGTACCACACACAGAAAAGTATATTAACCATACAAAAGTGAAAGATGTCAACCCCTATTACATATGGAGAATATCTTGTTACCACTAGAATTCCTGTGCCACCAACATGAACATGGAAGGACAGTGAATGTCCCCCACTAAGCATGCTTATATCTATATATCTCTATACAGGCATATAGATAGGTAAATAGATAAGCATATGTATAATATAAAATTTATTTTGGGAGGACTGTATAGAAAAGAATCCTCAAGTTGAAGGAATACTTGAGGTCTTCCATCTAGCTTGTGGCTTTTGCAAGGCAATTCCAACTTAGTAAATTATGTGTTCATTATTGGCACTTGAGTATTCCAAAACGTTAAATTCTCTTAAAATTATATCCATGGTGATATTAATTTAATGTGCACACTGACTATCAACTCCAGATTGTTTAAAGCCAGGTTAAGTTAAACAGTTGTAGAATTTTATTTAGGGAAGCTAGTTGCTTTCCTCCTGTACCATTATTGACTGTTGGTAACTAGGATAGCTTCTTGGAATACAATCATAGGACCAAATGGATATCTTTTTGAATGCCTTGTATGGTAAGGCAACATTAGTATTTTATATTTCCTAGGAATACTTAATTCAAGCATTAGACTATCACTTAGTTGTACTCCCTGATTTTTATGGATGAGACAACTGATGCCCCAGAAGATTAAAAGACTGGTTTAAGACTGAGACAAAAGTACAAATGCAAATCTGAACTAGAATTTAGTGTTCTGAGATTAATTCGATGTTGTGTAAATAAAATTTAAGTATAAACTTTTTAAAAAGTATTTATTTAAAAATATGATTTTCATTGACAGAATAAATGATTTTTAAAGTACAGTAAATAAATGAGTGGAAGTTTAAATTTTCTTATCATTTGATCAATGATCAATTGAAATCTGAGAATTTTAAAGTAGTTTTGTTTTCTCAATAATGACACATATAACAACTTTTATTACCTGTAATAAGGAGTGGAGTGGCAAGGCATCATTATAAATACTGAGGCTGAAGATTTATTGGGACTGTTGTGACAGGCTTTTTGAATATGACTCATGACATCAAGAGTACCTCGTTGATGAACTAAACCAGTATAGAGTGCGAGGAACATATTTGATAAAAACAGGAAACTTAGAGCTGGTTTTTTCCATGTTTTCAGGTGGGCTAGTGAGTATCCTATATGAAGATAGGTACATTGAATTGTAAAACTGGCAATCTTTTGGTTTCTTATGTTAACTGCAGATACATTTGTAATTTCATGGAAATGGCATAAACTGCAATGCTGTTGTAGACACAAAAAAATAAGCAGTAAGTCATAATTTTTGTGACCATTCACTATCATTGTATTGTCATCTAGGTCTGAATCGTCCTAGTAAAAGGTCCTGTGGTGTGGTATATTAGCTTATGGCTATTGAATCTAACATGCAGATTTTAAGTCTCTAAGGGTTTTCAAATCATCTGACAATCAAAGTTTACCAAGGGAACTTCAGAAATTGAAGTTATTAAAGGGAGAGTTAGACACATTACAATTATATTAATGAGTTAGCCATGAAAAGGCTAAGAGCACGTTTGTTTTTTACAGGGAAGTACCAGTTTCTTCAATACATAAGATACTAGATTTTGTCACCCAGTAGGCATTTTTTTAACTGAAATTGAAATAATACAGCAAAACAGTTTTCACTGAAATGATCCACTTTCAAATGACCTAGCTTCAGAAAGTAGTAATCACCACCACATCAATGATGTGACTTAAAATTGGAGATTTTGCCAATCACTGAAGATGTGGGACTTTATATGAACTCTGGTGATTAGCTCTCAAAATATGGAGCCTTTCACTTCACATATTAGCTAACTTGTTGCTAACTAGATGCCAAACATCGCTTTGAAATTCTTAATTTAAAGTAGGTACATAGAATATTTCTGGGTGAATTGCATAAGTGATAATAGTTTACCATTGGAGAACAGGCTAGGTGATTATGGACCAACCACTAGTATATTTATATTTGTACCATGAGCATTTTATTTTACAATAACATAGTTTTTATCAAATTTTCATCAGACTACTGTTAAAAAAAAGTGTTGTAAATCCATTATATCCCAGTTGATTACTTTCAAGGACAAATCTAAAAACTTAAGTATACTTTCTTTCAGTATCCACAGGGGTCTGGTTAGAATATACCACTCCCCAAAGAACAAAAATCCTCAAATGCTCAAGTCCCTTATATAAAATGATATGCATATTACCTATGCACATTCCCCTGATTATTTTAAATCATCTTTAGATGACTTAAAATATCTAATCTGTGTAAATAGTGACATTTATGGAAATAGTGATGATGGTGATTTATAGAATAATAAGAATGAAAAATCTGCCAGTACATTTTCCTGAATATTTTTAATCCTTGGCTAGTTTGAATCCATGGATGTAGAACATTCAGAAATAAGAGTATATAAGAAGGCCCTGTGTAAGTTGGCCCTTTTATTCAGCCATGCCTCCAAATCATATATTATTTAGCTTGATATACATACTTTAGTTTCGGATATTTAGCACGGCAATTATTCTCCAGCAAGGATTAATGAATTTCTTCTCACCAAGTTATGGTTCACGGTAGTGGACAATAATGGGAAAGCCAGTACATTACTAATTACCATCACATTTACTGAGGAGTGGCAAGGACGCATCCTGGTTTGGACAAGAATTATCAGAAAACCTAATGTTAAGAAAAAAAATCTCTACTATGTTCTGTACTACTTTCTACCAATTAGAAAATATATGAGTTAATCTACTTTCAAATACCCTGAGAAAGCTGTTAGGTCAGATTAGTTTCAGTGATTACATGAGAGAAAGAGTAGTTTAATTTTGGAGTGGGATTTAAGAGGACAGGTATGGGTAAATGGTGAGACTTTGAACTTTTAACCACAATGAGTACTGGGTAAAGACAGTGGTATTAGGATGAATTTTGGTTGCTGCTTTCTTAAGGAAACAAGTTGTATTTTCATGTTGTATAATGAGAAGTAAATAGATGATGTCCAAAACAAAGATCGTTAGGTAGCATTGTAAGCATTTT